TGCCAGAAGGCACACAAGGCCTGAACATCTCTTTTTCACTGGGGCCGGTCTGCGGCTGCCCGGAATGCCGTGTTCCAGGAATTCCAGTCTGCATTATTTCGCATCCACCACAATCCGTCGCCATATTGTCTTGGGGCGGTCTAGTTTCCTTCTCCCCTTAGGCGTCCTCCCGAAGGCCACAACACAGCCATCTGTGGGATCCTTTCTAAGCACATGGCCGATCCAATTCCATCTCCTCCTCCTCACCTCGCTACTGATGCTTTTTGATTCTGACATTTCCAGAACTGTCTTATTTAATATATGATGTTGTCATCTGACATTAAGATCCCTCTGAGGCACTTGGTCTGAAAGATGTCAATCTTCTTTTCCTCTGTCTTGATAAGCTTCGAAGTCTCACATCCATATAACAATACAGAGAGGACCAGGCTCTTAAAGACGGAGACTTTTATCTTTCTACTGATGTCTGTAGTGTTCCAGATGTTAGCAAGCATCCTGAAGATTGTACCGGTCAGTGCTATCCTCTTCCTGGTGTCAGCAGTTCCTACTCCCTCTTGGTGACATTGGCGCCGAGGTAAGTAAAGCTGTCCACCTCGTCGGCTTCGCTGTTTCCATCTGTCGGGCTGATTTCACTCCTGCTTCAACACTTTGCACTTCTTGGCATTAAGCTTGAACTTTTGCGGAGTTTTCTTCCAGTTTTGTTGTCTTAGATTGTAGATCGTTCATTACTAATGACAATAAGGCAATGTCGTAAGCAAAGTCAAGGTCTCCAAGCATAGTGGTGAAGTCCCATCTAATTCCTTTTCTCTGACAGTCTGTCGCATCACCAAGTCTATATAACTAGGAGAAACAAGAAGCCTGACATGTAGCAGCTTTGTTTGACACCAGTCATCACAGGAAAAGGGTCTGTGGTCTCGTTGTCTTCAATCACAGAACACCGAAATATGTCATACAGGGCTTTGACCATTAATCAATTTTCTGGGTATTCCATATTTCTTCATTATGACCCAAAAGCTGTCTCTGTGCACCGAGTCAAAAACTTTCTCAAAGTCCACAAAATTGATGTACAGTGTAGCATTCACCTCGTTGACTTCTTCCAGGATTTTCCTAAGGATGAAGATCTGGTTAACAGTCCCTCTTCCTTTCCGGAACCCTGACTGCTCTTTCCTCGGGATGCAGACAACTCCAGCCTGTATTCTGTTGATGATGATCCTGCTGAGTGCTTTGCTGGGTAGGGGCAGCATTTAGACTCTCCTCCAGTTGCTGCAGTCCTGTAAGTTGGCTCTCTTGGGAATTTTACAGTTCAGTCCTCTGGTCCATTCTTTGGGTACCTTTTCCTTCCATAGCTAGTCAAAGGTGTGATTCAATTCCTGGTTGCCCTTATCAAGGTCTGCCTTTAACATTTCTGCAGTTATTTTATCTGCTCCAGTGACCTTCCTATTCCGAAGCGTCTTAAGTGCAGTCCTTATTTCCTATGTGGCGGGTGGCTCAAGCTAGATGTCTAGCTCTTCTCCCTCCTCATGTTCATCTTGTGGTGGTGACTCCAGAGTTTCTCTGTTGAGTACTTCCCCAAAACGTTCCCTCCATCTGGCAAGCCCTTCTTTATTTTTCAGCAGCTCTCCATATTTGCGCTTCACCGCTGCTGTTTGTTTATTACTCTTTCTTCTCAGCTGCTTTACTATGCTGTACAGTTCCTGCTGTCTCCTGTTCTCGGCTGCTTTCTGTGCTCGCTCAGCTTTCTCTGCCATCCATCTCCTCTTGTCCTCTCTCGCACTTTTCTTGACTAGTAGTACTTTGTCTTTCTCCCTGTAATTTTCCTTCAACTTTGCCTTGACTCTTTCTGATCTTGTGCTCTCTATCTTTGTCTTGATGTCTTTTCTTTCATCTATCAACTTCCAGGTGTTTTCGCTGATCCAAGGTTTACTTTTGCCTTTCCTGTAGCCAAGTACTCCCTCTGCTGAGTTCACATATGCCATCTTCTGCTGTTCCCAAATTTTATCAATAGGTCTTTCATATCCATTATTGTTACTCCCTACCTTAGAGTTGAGGTCCCCCATGATAATAATGATGTCGTTGTTATTACATCCATCAAAGGTCTCTTGTGACTCCTGATAGAATTTGGCTTTCTCTTCCTCTTCCTTTTTATCATGTGGCGCATAAGTTTGGATCACCGACACCCTCCTGTACCTTGAATAGAATCGTGCTGTAATGATTCTTTTACTGACAGGTGACCTACCATGAGTGATTTCATGCCTGCCGGTTGGTCATTATAGAAACTCCTCACTCATGGAGTTCTTCATCCCCGCTGTATATGACGGTCTGGCCCAAGGTCAGTCTCATCTTCAAATTGGTGTTTTTTTTAATAGTAAAATACAGATGGGTCAGATGGCTTAACACCAATGGTAATTTAATATCAAAGCTCTATAATAAACGTGACGACTAACTTTTCAATCGTCAACTTCCCTTACTTTTGCAGCAATATACCTTTACCACCTGTATACGGAATTAACATCTCTAAGTTGATTTGATACCCAAGAGCATGCAAGAATATCAACAGTTTCATTCAAAGTCATCATTTTATAAGTTTTATGATCGATACATTAAACTTGTCAACAAATACAATTTACATTTAAGTCAAATGGTGACTCGCTTTTTACATACTGTTAAGCCATTATTTGCACACTGAGTTTTCGATGGATTTTTCTGGGTTTTTTTTCCAAACAGAACAAGGAGCACACGGCAGGTGTGACCAATCTGCATAAGACGCTAACTCCTCCATGGCACCCGATCCCATCTCTAATGTTTTGGAGGTCCATGTTTGCTCCATGCACCTTTTGTAATGGTTGATGGACTTATGAGCTCGATTGCTGTTCATTATCTCAACATTTCAGTAAGAAATTTAGCTGATATACGGATACATAATGTTATAGAAAATGACTAATTTCTGTCTCCCGCGTGGCACAGTGGTTAGAGCATCTGCTCTAGAGTTGTGAAGTAAGGAGTTGATCCTTACGTCACAGGTTCGAATCTCATTGTAGGACATGGAGACTGGTCCTTTGGATAAGACCGTATAAACCAAAGTCCTGTGTCCCAGTGGGTGCTGGCACGAAAAAGATCTCTCCCTGCTCAATGGCCCCGAGTGTCGAGTATAGGACAAACTTTGCAGCTATCCACCGGCAAGTGGTAGCGTCTCCATATGAGTGAAAAATTCTTGAGAGGGATGTTAAACAATATACAATCAATCAATCAATGTACATATTTCATTATTTATAAATAACAAACCTTTTTGATCCAACAAAGATTTAGAGGATACTAGTAACATGGGTTCTTAATTTGTCTTAGTTTTACCTTGGGCAGGAGGAAAATCATTTTTCCTGTAAACTTTGTATAAATATCACACAAGCAGTAGTTTGAATGTTGATAAATTTATTATGACTTCTTGTCATCAAATATAATTATCTGAAAAAAATCAAATGAAGAACAAAAAAGAATAAAGAATCTATAGAGCCTGAGTAGAGATACAGGGACTCGACAGATCACAGGGTACAATTAGCAATCTGCTAAAACAGTGAAATGTATAAAAAGAATCTCAAAGAATGAAATAAAAAGTGATTATAACAAACAAAGATGGAATAAATACAGGTAACAATGAGAAATCCTGTCTCTACACTTTGGTCTAATCGGACACTTCCATGTTACTTAAAATAGCCCCCATGACTAGTGCACACTGGGAAAAATAAAATCCACCATCTCCTACTCTGTAATTTTAAAGTTTTAGAGGACCAGGTAATAAAGTACAATTTGACTGGAACTGGTCCATTTTACAGGTACACTGTGTACTCTATTTTTATGTCATCTGATAAATAAATTTTATGTTCATATTCAGTGATCAATGCATTGAATTACTACTGTAAACGTATTACATTTGGCTGTGTATTCTTTTTAGCATTTTTGGCGGAAAGCAATATCGGCTAATTCAAGTACTACGCTAAATGTCTGGCACATATACCTATAAAGAAGTAGATTAAGATATAAGCTAAATCAAATACACACTAACTTGTTCAAAATCCAATTTCCACCAAATATCGTACACGCTAAATATAATACATTTATAGTATTTAAATTCTTAATTCATTTTGTGACCAGTTAATATAGTTTATGAATTTTTTGACCTTAGAGGTATAAGTTAATAAAGATGCATATATTAAGCACTAATTACAAAGCCATATACAATCATTACATGTATATGCATGTATTACCAATTATATCCCAGATTTGTTCAACAATGAAGTACAATGTACTCTAAATTCATTCAAACATATACATGCATTACACAGTCATGGACATCTCTAAGTGACTCTAACTTAAAAAAAATAGGAATAAGAAAAAAACACAAAACACAAACTAAAATTACATTTTGTGGCATAATTCAAACAAATGTGACCAATCAAATTACAAACAATTATTATTTTATAGTATGTATGACACCTTTGCATGAATTGTACATAATGAGAAGATCAAGTTTAGAATTGGCACACGTTGTAGTGATCAGAATGTTGACAGAGGTTTGATTCTTAACAAAGATGGACATGAAAAGGTAAGTAGATTCATTGCCAATAGTTTATGTTCATGAATCATGATATTATTTACAGTAACTGATACACAAAACACTTTTTTTTCTATTTTACAAAAGTATTTTCATAACATAATCTGTCTTCATCATGTTTATTATACAGTATTTGATTTTTACAGGGCAAAAAATTACTTTATGCTCATTACTACACTGTAATTGCAGAATGGTACAAAAAATATTTGTGTTGTAAAACAAGCATCTTCACTAGTACTGAACATAACCACAATTAAAACTCAAGATTACATGATTGATTGAAAGAAAGTGATTGGAATATTTACACATGAATCAAATAGAAAACATAGGAATCCAAACTACATGTATATGCACACCAAATTTATATTTTAAAACATTCTTTAAACAGGAATATTAAGGTTTAAAGTTTGCAACAATTTATATTCATTTTAATTAGGTTCAGAAAAAGATGCCAAACAACTTAGAAAATTTAATTACTGTTAACTGAAATTAGAGTTGAACCACAAATATGAAATAATTTATTCTAAAACTAAGTTCTAATAAATATATTGCTTCTAGAATCTACTGCACCATAGATGCCCTATATAAAATCTCCTGCTAGGGTGTAATTCATTGCATAATCTACCTACAATCTGAGCAGATTGGACACACAAGGACACAGTGTTACACACTGATATCCTGGGTGTTGAGATCAGGGCTTGGAAATGAGCTGCTTTCAGGTGACTTAACCATTTTAAGATGAAAAGTAAGAAAACATAAAGATGGATTCTCCCTGCCACATTTCAATTCTGATTTCAGAAAGAAGGAATTTAGAGATTACAGAAAATGGTTAAACCATTAAGACCTTGAAAACATTATTTCCATGGTGAATATCCCTACAAATGGTGAAGTTCACTTCAAATAGAATTCTTTCGGCACACATTTGATGTTCAGCTCATACAAAGGGACACATTCCTGAACTAAATGATCACAGATCAGTTTGTCAGTACACTAAGAACCAGCAGTCAGCATGGTTATTGTGCGTGTTTTATGGATTTCCGTTATCCTCGGGCTTCAGCTCTTCTTGCTGAAGTAAAATACTGCTGCTATGGCAACCATACAGGATCCTACAACGATAGAGAGAGTGGTAAAACTCGGAGAGGGGGAGTACTGGAGAGCCGCACTCTGTAACGAAAAAAAAACAAAACATTGTAATAATCAGTTACCTACACATGTTTGTCTGGTGTTTTGATGCATTCAGAAATTGGTGTACCAGTAAACTGCACACATCACTGTATTTGTTAAATATACCCTATACAGTAAATGAAACTTTACTGAACATTTTTTTTGGTGAATGCTTTTCACATTAATTTTTTCTACTGTATATATATGTCATTGAAAACACAATAAATTACACAAATGTCAATATAAGGAGAAATGATATTGCTCCTATTTAAGCAATAATTGTATATATATACATTTGTGGTATCTCTCCATTATGTAAACATACAGAGAGCAAATATCTTCAATTCTGTATGAAGTTTGTCAGAGGTCAGAGGTCAATACGTGACCTAATCACACGGCGCAATAATATCTACCGGTACACACAGGGACTGGGGGCAAGTCCCTGTGCAGTACATAAATTATAAAATGACCTGCTCTACTTGCTTTTCTCGTATAAAAATGAACAAAATAAGCAAGTAAAATGATAATTATTTTATTTACAATGTAAACAAGTATTTCTTACAGTTTTTTGGCTATCGACTCAACCTATGTACATAGAGAAAACTAGCGTTTGTTTACATTTTTTTTTTTTACACTTTTGTCAGCTGCACAGTCTTGACGTTCATTCTTATTTTTTTGGTAGACCTTTAGTTAAATTTTCATGATAAACTATTATTTTATCTTTAAATTTTACTCACGATAAATGTGTAAATCTAATGGAAAATATCATTGCATTCATGCCATGAACAGCTGCCAAACACATTGGCATTTTCGTAGTTCAAAGTAAAGCTGTCGCCAGTGTCTCCGTGTTTACCAGTGTTTTACGATAAGTATGCCTCTAGTTATTACTGAAATGGTAGAATGTTTTCGATCAAATTGCAAATTAACTGGCTCGGGAAAGTGTCTCAATCCATCGGATCCATCCATCCATTTCCGGCGACCGAAATTCCTCCAACTTTTATCATCAAACCTCGTACGTGTTTCTTGTGTCTTTTCAGCATCGATTATCAATTTTCACGAATAAAAATATTCCCAGAAAACACTCTGTTCACTATTACTGATCACAAGTAGCCTTTCACAAAATATTCCCTTCGAAATAGATTTCTTGGCCGAAGCGTAACCGCCATACAAGCCGATTTACACATTGCGTAATTTTTCAAAATCTACGACGGACGGTTAGTACAATGATTTAAATTCGAAAATATTCAATTGTCTGTCTCAAATGTATATATAAGTAATAAATAACAAGTTTATAAACTTCAATGGGAATTGAAGTGGGTCGGTACGTGATAAAATCTTCTGAGAAGACCTTCGGCCTTCACAGGATTTGATCACGTGACCGACCCACTTCAATTTCCATTGAAGTTTATAAACTTGTTATTTATTTCTTAAATACATGTCAATTATATATTGTATACAAGGATGACATACCCATCCCCCTTGTTGAGCAATCCATCCAGCTATCTTCTCCTTGATGAATCGAACCACATGACTGACAATGATCTTCAGGAATTGTGCAAACTTTTTGGCTCGTTCCTTGACTACTGTCATGGTGATTCGGTAAGCGAGGCACATAAGAGCGGCTACACGTCCCCAATTAATTTCATCAGCAAACAGCCTGCAATGGTACAAATAAATCATCATAACAGTATGTAGATGGATTTTTTGGGTGAAGTATCTCAAAGATGATGGTAAATGCTGAAATAACTTTAGTTTACTTCAGCTATACCTTGCAACAATTGCTCAACTTGCTAAACATAACAAAACTTGCATAAACCATAAGCATCCTCTGCATGTACACTTAGTTTTTCAAAGTAAAGTTTGCAAAAATTAGAACTCTTTAGTCCCCTTTGGGAATGGTGAAAGAAGCTCGTAAATGTTAGTGATTCATACCAAGGAACACAGTGTTTTACAATTATTTCGAGACAAAGCTAAATCCATTTATTTTTTAACTCTTCCATTTTGACATTGATATAAGTGGGACATAATCTAATAGAAATTTATACCCACTTTTTAGCCACTCCAGCGAACACGTCGTAAGCCGTTTCCTCCGTCACATTCAGCTGAGAGATCATGTCTTTGAAATCATCAGCGTATCTCCTGTTAATATCGTCACCTATTCTGGCCAACTGTCTACCAACCTGGGAGGCTCGACTACAAAATAGAGGACATTTATAAAATAATGTTGATTTGTAAACAGTTTTGATAAATTACAGAAATAATTTATGATAAAATTAGAACATAGTAAGATGTTATTATAATTATTTAATAAATTTTCTATTCTTTTTAACATTTGAAAAATTCACTAAAAAGATAAATCTTTAATGCGACTTTGACAATCAGTGGAAAACTAATTCAGTGACTATTTATCTCCTCTTGACAAACCTGACTGGATCTGTTGTAAAATTACACAGCTCCGGGACTGTTGGCGTGGAGGTGTCGGGCGGCTCTTCCTCCAACTGATGCCGATAACTCTCGTAAATAAAATTCCTGATCACGTCCTCCGCCTCGTCAATTACGTTTTCCTCTGTGTCTGGAGTCATTTGCTCGGAGTTAGGGGACGGAATCTGTCGGACGTCGGAGGTGGGAGGTACTCGTCTCCCATCGTGGGTCCCAGACCCTCCGTCCCAGTACGCCATCTCTGGGGGGTCTCTCTCCTTAATCACACCATCCAAACTCAGTTCTCAGTAGGCTGGAAGCAATTAAAGACTTTTTATTATAAGTTTGTGACCAAAAAAAAAAAGGATGGTGCAGGAAATACGAGAATATGTATAAAACTTGATTTCTCAATTACCTCAGTTAGAAGAGAATACTAATTATGATGTCATAATGTGTATTGAATATCATAACATGTCCAAGGCATTGAGTATGCATTAAAGGTGAGTTTAATAGAGAAATCTCTTATGCATTTAAATTGACTCATTTGCATAAAAATGCCCATACTTAGATTACACTCACTTATATTGATATAAGAAGAAACCATAGAGGGAACTAAATATATATCATAAATACACGTGCTTATTGAGACAGTATTAACTTCATAAAGAGACAGTGTTAAGTGGATGGCACACACTTAATGCATGTGACATAGTGTGACCGATCAGAACTTAAACAATGGGACAATAGTGAATACAACACCAGACTACTTTACTATTGGTCGAAAAACATGATAATGGTAAGTATTTTTTTTTTTGGAATGCAATAATTTCATTAAATTTGGGAAAGGTACACCTTGTGCAGGAGAGGGTATTTACATTGTGTGTATGTTGTCTATTCTGTTCATTAAATAATTAGAGTACAAGAGGAGGGTAGGGTGCTGGATATTCATGGCTTCATCTTCGTCTGGTCACTGAAAATTCAGCTGTATAGAGAATAACCTGAATGATTTAAAACCTTATTGAAAAAATTTTGTAGTTTATATTCAGTGAAGTCTACAGACAGGGCATATTTGGTGGACAATGATTTACTGTTAAATCACTAAATATTTGTGATACTTTATTTTCGTGAGATTGCCATCAGCTCTTTATTAGCAAGACAAAATTTCCACGAATTGTGGTTTTTGCTCTATATAATGGAATGCTATTATATGCGAAAATGAAATTTTCCCAAGCAAACTGTTCTTGCATAATTACAGTATTTTACTCCATGATTGACAGTGTAATTACACAGGTTAAAATTTGTTGCACAAATGGTGAATAAAATCTATAGATTAGAACATGAAAGAATAAACTTGGTTAGAGGAGTTCGGGTTTGAAATAAAAAGCCAAACACAAAGAACAGACAAATAGATTTTCATAAAAATTCCTCATCACAAGTGTCCCCACCACTGATAAGTGAGCTCTCTGACCATTACCTGATCAGACGGTGATGGGGACACTTGTGATGAATTTTCATGAAATTCCGCATTAAAGCATAATTTATGAAAGTGAGCTTTTTGATCATGTTGATCAAATTGTAAACTGTGCTAGTTATTAATATATTGTTTTCTTGAGGGTCCTTCATAGAAGTTGGCTTTCCAAGGAGGTGCAATGACTAGCACTCAAAATGATTCAAGATCAAGGGAGGATATTTAGTAAGGGATTGTCTCTAAGACCTGGAGGCCAGGGAATTCCCCACCTAATAATGATGTAGTCCCCTGGCTATTTTGGTTTTCCTCCTAAACTCCCAATCAGGGGAGGAACCCAAAATCCCCTTCTACTTTTAAAATGCCTCATGGACAACCCTGGAAATGGAATGCTACTGTCTATCCATGTTGAGGCTTCTGAATGTTTGTCAAATCAGTGTTTATATGGTTATCATCATTTATACTGTACTATGTTTGGAATGATAATATAATTTGACAATTTGATTTACATTAAATACAACCTTGCCAAGAAAAATTCTACACATTTCTGTTCCCTGTTTGAAAACTTTTGAAAAAAGATGAATGATTACATCAGCAATATAACATCTAAAAATAGATTCAATCCAAAACGTATTACAAAACATTAAAGATCGATAATTATTCACGTGAAAATGATAACAATTACATATATGCACATATATTCAGAAGTGAAATCTCTGGATAAAGTAACTTAAACAATTGATGCAGCGTAGGTCATTCACCCACCCCGTTGACCATACGCGTAATTTCAGAAGCATGGGGCATGTGTTCACTATAAACTAAACAACTCAGCAAATCTTCTTAGACAGCCGTGTAAATGTGCTCTTCTTATAGTTCTTATTGTGCATATTTATATAGCAGTGCGTGTAAATTGTTTTATGAAATATTTAAATAAACCTACTTGAATTCTTGAAACCGCGGAAATATCGTGAAGGTCGTTTTCCAAATATCTTCTGCTCTAAAAATATCTCGATTCCAAGCTATCGTTAAATTCTCAAAAGAGCAGAATTTACATCATCGTTCCAACTTTAATCAAGCAATGCCTGCTGTGATTAATCTCTTCTAAAAAGTCTTTGTTTATATGTTGTGTCATTCTGCCAAAATATTCCAGTGGAACTCTTCTGTTTGATAACTCGTACGAATTTTATTCGTGTTATCGAAATGCCACCATGCATTTAAATGGACAATTTAAAATTATATTAAGATTCGATGAATTATGATTTCTGAAAAAAGTGATACCCTAACTTCATTGTTATGGGATTATGTAGCATCTCGGCTCATTATTAAGCTGTCAGACTACAGATGAGTAAAAAGATGTATGTAAATTCACATAGAATTACACAACATGTGTGTAATTGAAGATATAAAATATATATGGGAATGAAGAATCAAATATATTTTAAAATATATCTATCAAAGTCAACCTTTCAAGAACACTTGATCCTACATTGCTAAAAAATCTTTTCTGTAACTGATTATGAGAATCAGATTATACGATCATAATGCCCAACATTGGTGCCACGCACATTAATGGAAGAAGAAATCAAGAAAATTTTTGCAATGTCTATGCCAAGAGATGCAATGCATTATGTTTAGATTCTGTATCACTAGTTTTGTAGTTTTGAATCTACATTTCCTTTTTCCAATAAAATCAAAAGCAAAAACAAAAAAAAAACCAAAAAAAAAAAAAAAAAACAACCAAAGTTTCATATTAGTAATTTATTAAATCAACAATGACTTTTATTTACAACTTAATATAATGCATTTAAATTTTGTTTTGGGAGGGTAACCATAATGAGAAAAATTGATAAAACATTGATTTTGTCTCTTAAATTCTGTCTCTTAAAGAAATTATTGTTCCTCACTGAATTCATAAAGATGATCACAGATACCTGATACAAATATATATTAATGATAATACATGCAGATCTGATCATTACTTCTGATTTTAATGAGATTTTCAGCATGGTAAAAAAAATGCCCCATCATATTGAGAGAATGTCGAAATAAACAAATACATGTAATAATGAAAATGACTGTAAAAATGTACGATTAATTGAGATCTTACAACGGTCTGAGCAATAAAAGAAGAACAACCTGCATTTTCACATACATGTATATATTGTTTATAATAATACTCCAATACAGAAAAACCTGAAAATGGAATGTGCATTTCAACAATTCTTGAAGACAACAGTCCGTAATTTCAAGCATTCTCCACTAAATTACAAAAAAAAGGTTTACGAAAGATTAAGATTTGACTATTACAGTAGCTGGATGCTCTCTTTGATTAACAATGTATAAGATACTATCTACTTAATACTTAAAGAGAATTCGAAAAAGAAATGTTCTTTTCAAAACAGGGATGAAGAGTCAGCTAAAATGACAACAATGCTCGTGGAATAAAATGTCTTTACTTTGAGTGTACACAAAGATCATGGCACTTTTACCCTGAAATCAAACTAACTTAAATCATGAGGCACTTATTATGAAAGAAACTGCACACTGCATCAATTTGAACAAAGGCTCATTCATTGATCAAAAGCACTTTTGGATGCATAACATGAAAGGCAAACTAAAGTCATTATCAAAAACAATGCAATAAACATCATCTCAAAGACATAAAAATGTCTCATTCTCAAACAAATTAAATAAATGGTTTCATAATAAGCTGCAAACCACTAACACAATAAAACTGATCAGACATAGCTGTCATAAAAACAGACTAAAACTTCAAGGCCTATAACAATCAAATTCTTAGATCCTCCTAAATATCACCTAGTGAAAATCTTCACAGTATTCTAAGATCCACCTTCCCATTGTGATGAAGTGAGTGTTCCTTCCAAGGAAATCTGGCAGCTGCAGTACAGTGTGTACACTTATTGGAGCAGTGGTCAGTAGCTCAGTCAATCTCCAGATCTGTGTCACTGTCCAAACAAGTGTCCTGAAATAGAGTCAAAACAAAAATAATGAACGCAAAAAAAAAAACCAAAGTAGGGCTTAATTAGAATTCACTCATTCTTAAAAAAACAATTAAAACAAATTTAATGTGTTTTGTACTGTATTTGATTTAAACAGGAATAAAAAATAAATCAGGCCTAGAGACCATGCATAGACTGAGAACAGACTTAAGTCAAAATTTGATATTGAATACTCCGGTAGCTTGTAATTTATAACACAAATGTTATGTAAAATAATCCAGTTTGTGTAATATTCCAATTAAAACATGATTTTAGGTAAAAATTTTGTTTTGGTGTTAAAATTAATTCAAAACTTAATTTGATTGAAATTTTGACATAAGCCTTATCTCCATGTATGCCATGGTCTTGGGGCCTGATCTCACAAGGGCTTATCATAATCTATATGCACATATGCCAACTTTCTAACATGATATGTTGGGACATGGCCCCTCATTCATGTCAAATGTCTGGTCATATCCTGTGAAGATATTTTATAAGCTTCAATAGGGGGGTTGAAGGATCATTGTTGAGGGGTGATGATGTGATTTTGGGAGTGTGGCCTATGTATATGGGTCCAGTTTTGGCATTATGCTTTTCATTTTTCTTGATTTTAACCACCCCTACATTATACTAAACATAAATATGGTCACAAATATGAAGCCTGTATATAGGTTTTCTGATAAGCATCTGTGAGTAATGCTAGGAAAATGCCCCTTCCCCTGATTAGCCTTACCCATCCACCCTGATCCACGATCCAGGAGGCGAACTTATCCGCCACAAACTCCGCCGCTAAGTCCTTCACCTGCAGCGCCACCGCCCCTCCGGCCCCCGCCAGGGTAATGGCTTTCTTTGTGAGGTAGAACACAGCTGCTATCTGATCCCAGCTGTTTCCGGGCCCCACCGTGTTATTTACCGTCTCCTGGAAAGTCTGGTAGGTGGCGTGCTTAGCGATCTCCAGCGCGGCGTCCTTCACAGAGTCAGGGGACACATTCAGCTACAGAATAATGTCATCAACTGGTATGTATAAATACAGGTATGACTACTGACATATGGTGCGTATATAGAAAAGAGTCTTATATGTATATTTTGTGTGTATAGTTATTCACATTAAGAACCAGTTTATAAGAAATAAACCAAATGACAGGCATTAGCACACTGAAGTATTCATTATTTGGATAATTGTAAAAACTCACAGCAAAACTATCCCCAAATTCCCGAAGCCTGTCTCTTAACTGTCTCTCCAGCTCCGTCAATCCTTCACCTGTAAATAGCATGTACTTAAAGATGACACATTTTATACTTTATATGAATTATTACATTTATATATAACTTTCATTCTAATAATTATAAGTAATATTGCATAGCCAAAAAATCATGGCAATACAAGCTCCTTCCAATTATATTTTGGATTAAAAAAAAAGTTACTTCAATAGACAAAACGGTTTACAGTCAACTCGTACACAAACCGACTCATACACAAACCGAGTCGTACACAAAAAGTCAACTCGTACACAAATCAGAAGTCAACTCGTGCACAACATTTTATTTACAACTGTTATGAATTACTTTTATATGAATGGAGTATAATCAAGAAAAATACAATAAGGACAAAGAGATGTGTTAATTTATTATTTTTTTATAAATATTTTAGAGGTTTAATTAAACAATAAAATGCTTTCTTTGTTTGTTATTACTGGAATTAACGGAAGAAGCTGTTGCAGAAAAAATACATAGCCCGAGTAAGTGGGTTATGTAAATTTTTTCTGCAACAGCTGCGACCGTTAATTCCAGTAATAACAAAAAAAGAAAGACATTTCATTGTTTATATTTATATCTGTTTAAATAATCATTTAAAGTAGGATTAAAAAGATTAATTATTGTATTAATGATGCGAACGTCTTTATACGTTTCATTGATGGAACAGCCACTGATCAAGAAATCTGTACAGGCGACATGCCGACTGTAGTTCATGCAGTGATTAATGCAATGGGTTTTCTTAAAATATAAAGGAGAAAATATTCAGCGGATGTAAATATCATTTAATTAACCTGGCTTCTCTTGTTAAGAATTCAAACAATTATTGTTAAACCAACACAAGCGCGGCGGTTTTGTGTACTGTACGAGTTGACTTCTCAATTTTTCTACACTAAGGAAAAGAATTCCTTAAATCACACAGGAAAACCTATGTAGGAATGACAAAAGTCTTGTGTACGAGTTGACTTCTGCTTTGTGAACGAGTTGACTTCTGCTTTGTGTACGAGTTGACTTTTTGTATACGACCTGGTTTGTGTACGACTCGGTTTGTGTATGAGTTGACTGGACACCGACAAAACACATACAGTGTAAATTATTTCTTAATCAGCTGAATAACAAAATGTACCCACCATCTCTCTCATCGACCCCCGTTAAGTTTGGCGTCCTGGCACTGACGCGTCTGCCGAGAGTGTGTTCTACAGAACTACTGCCGCTTTCCGATAGTGGACTGGTGGCCATATACTGGTCTCCTATATGAGCTAACTTTTCAGCCACGGCGGAGTACAAGCGGTCCTTCTCTGGGTCTGATGGCTGGGACACTGCATGTCTGGGACACATTCCTAAAATAGAAACTGAACTTAAGAGATACATGGAGAATAGAGAGGGTTGCCTTATGTAATTCAGTTAAACTCGGTTATAATGAAGTCACTGGGACCTGTGAAATTGCTTCGCTATATCCTTATTCGTAATATCCGTATAAGAATTCATTAAATTTATGTAGCTGGGGATTCAAGATAACTTCGCTATATCTCTGAATTCACAATATCTGTGTGCGTACTAAACAAGTTTTACTGTATCTGTTAGTTGCCGATACTAAATTTGGAAAATACGATTGGATGTGGAACAATTAAATTTCTAGTGTTGCACTGAAAACTAACCTTGATCTTCATTTCCATCTACTTCAACATCATGACCTTCATCAAAGTTCTTGACCTTGAACCTCTGTTTGACTGTTGTGTCCACAGTCCCGTCTGGACGTACCAATACCTGCTGCCTCTCACACGTATCAAAGTCCAGGACAAAGGACTTGTTCCTACTGGTGCGATCTCTCACCTCACCCTGAATCGGCCCCTCTGGTATCAACTCGTCAGTTTGTCCGTACGTCTGCTCTCCGGTGATGACGGTGGTGGTGGTGGTATGGTGGGTGTGATCTCGGCCTTCCTGCACTCTCTCTTGATAACCTTGACCTGTGGACACTGACCGGTTGTAGGCTGCTTTTGGAGATTTATGACGTTTATGGTCAAAGTCAAGCTCATCTGATTTGGATACTGCAATAAAAAAATTTCATGTAGTTGAATGATCCTTTTAGCCTCAAAACAATAACAAATTATAAATAAGATATGGCCAAATTTATTCACTCTACTGCTTTTAGCTTTTTATCCTATTCCTTCTACAACATCTACCTACCTTTGATAGCGGAGGAAGATTTGTCTTTCTTGGATTTCCTGAAGGATGTGATTTTTTTCAGTTTTCGGAGGATCCCGCTGTCACTGTCTGATAATTCCGTGCTCTCCTTGACGCTGGCATGCTTCTCTTTATGCCTGTGTTCTGACTCTCCTGTCACGTCAGTCGTTTCCCAGACATCCTTCTCCACCAGCATTCCCGACTTCGTCCCGTTGGTATAATGGTGTTGTTCAATATGTCCATGTTTGTGAGTGTGAACATTCTGTATTACTCGGCTATTCTTATCGACACTGGTGCCTTCGTCCTTCCTTTTTCTCTGCTTTCGTCGTTTTTTGATGGAGGCGTCTGATTGAGATCTCTGTCGTGTAACTCCCTCGATTTCTTTCGCTCTTCCTCGACTCAAACTCCTATTCATACGTTCCCTCAATCGAGTAAAAATCGATTTCTTCTTGCGTCCAGGGGAGATAATCTCTTCTTCGTCTGTGTCTTCAGAGGACTCTGTCCCTGACTTTAATCTCTGGCGTCCCCTGGTTATACCCACCTCTTCTATGTCCTTAAGTCCGCTGGGTCTTTCTGAGATTACATCTACCAGCTTATCTTGTCTCTCCCTTTCCTCTGTAACCTCAATCAATGCAGATTTAGAATCAGCAATGATTTCTCTTAGTCTTGATGGACTGAGAGATTTTGATAGGTCAGAGGAAGGTTCGCCTTTATTTGTGACTTTTGACAGGACACTTGATGGGAGACTATTAGACCGCACTGTGTGGTCTTTTGGGGGTGGCTCTTCATCATCTACTCCATCTATGAATGGAAAATCTACAGTTCCATCTGTGAGAGACCGGATAGACCCTCCAGGAATGGACTGGCCCGCCTCGCTGCGACATTTAGCACAGCTTGTCCGTGATGAATACCTGGACCCCTCCTTAGACGTGCTTCCACTGACTGGTCCATCAGTTTCTATGACATCTTCCACAACCACTTTTTGATAAGATGTCGGTATTGCAGCATTCTCTTCATTATTGTTCAATAAGAGTTGTTTCTTGAGGAACTCTTCTAAAATCCTATGAACCCCAGACCTGATTTCCTCCTCTGTTGGGGGAGGGAGTGGGGATTTCTTGCGGGTTTTCCCTCTTGTTTCTTTCAGATGAGTTGACAGTACATCAGAGGCCTGTTTATGTGTCTTTAGTACAGGATTTCTTCCCTCAGCCATGCTTGTCGGTCATTTTCTTCCCTTTACCCTTGTTCTAAAATGAAATTGTGACAGATGGATTTTATGTCAATTCCTTTACATTCTAAATTTGGTAATTAACTTTGAAATTATCTAATTTAAAATAATTAATGAATAACTCACTCCTCATGGTAATTTGATATTGAAATCATTACTTATTATAATTACCTTTATTGTCAAAACTCAATGGTACCCCCTACTCTATCACTTTCAAACAATACTATAAATTAAGATAATTACAAATAACATTGCAATTAAATAATGATTATTATGTAATCAGTATTCATTAGAGACCATGACACAATTTCAAATCATAACTTCTATCTTTAAGCTTAGCAGGGTTACATTTCATCTGCTTTTTTTTTAGTTGATTCATTCTCCTGGAGAAAAAGTATATTAAAGGTACATAACATTTGCAAGGATAAAATTGGGTATTTTCTCTATGGAACACAAATATTTATTAACAGATAAACAATCAACCGACTATGTCACAGGCTTACGTTTATGTTGACTGGTTGATACCATAAAGATGTGCAGAGGAAATTAGGAATGCTTAAAAACTTACCACAGTTTTTATCTCACTTTCAGTAGTGATCAATAACCCATAATATAAATATCAATAAAGATTACACATTATCATAAATACCCTTATCTCACCTATTTAATCTTGATATGTTTAGAAATCGCAAAAGCTGATCTAATAATGTCAGGAAGAGTTCTAATGATAAGGGAAATAACTCTTCTAGTTTCATTTTTGTCAATCCAGATCCCGACCTTACAATTTGTTGGCAGTATGTCGGAGAAAATTGCAATCGTTGGGAGGTAAAAAGGGAGTGTCATCTGTATTTGTCAGAAAATATTTATTAATTGTATTACCAATAAACATTTACAAATGCCTGCTATGCTATGTAATTTTGTAAAAGTCTTAGTTTCTGTTTCTTAATTAAATGCAAACAGGCTGCACTGTAAAGGGCACCTGAGGCCCAATTAGGATCTCTTTTAGCTGTAATAATGTAGCTCTCTCTCCATTTTTTCCTACAGAAAATATCAGATTTAAAAAAATCAGAGGCCTACATATGATTGCATCTAGTTCTTGTTTAGCTCAGTAAGCAAATTAATTTTGCTCACCATATCTTGTCTGCATATGACAAATAATGTTTTGAGAATATTTTACATGCATTAAAAACTTTGATCTTCTATGAATGTTGAGCAATACCAGTAGTTGCTAGGTTGAAGTATCTGCATCCTTGCTTCCATGCTTGTAAGCTCATTTTTATATTCAAGTAAATATTATACACTTTTCCATGTTATAATTACCATCAAAATAAGAATGAAGGTATTCCACACTCTTTTGTATACAGTGGGCTGATTGGTCAGAATTGGTCAATGATCTTTGCTGCCCAGGGATACAAGGTCCACGTGTTTGATGTAGATCCCGGTCAGCTGACTCGAGCGGAACAGAACATTTCCCGGACTCTCACGCAGTACGAGGAGGAAGGATTCCTCAGAGGGGACAGTCCTGCGGCCGAGCAGACTAAACTGGTGACCTTTACTAGTTCTCTACAGGAGTGTCTGACCGAAGCAATCTATGTACAGGTCAGTGATTTTTGGTAGATATCAATGCATGTAGATAGAAAGAAAATGCAATGAACCAGACACTGATATAAACATTGGCCTCCTTAATCTCCAGTCAGGGGCTCTACCAACTGATCATGATCTAACTGACCACTGGGTTCAAGTCCCAGTCTGTTCCACTGCATTTTTCTCCTCTTTGGTTATATTTGGTGCCATATATATGCCCTCATAGCTCTGGAAGTGACAGGTGATCAAGAGACCTGCCAGGGAAGAGGCTGGGTTGATGCTGAAGACCTTTAAGGAGGGAAAACGTGGCAGTCAGACTGGTTTAATTAATCGCTGGTAGCTAGATAGCCCAGTAAGTAGAGCTCCTGATCGGAGATTCGGAGGAATAAAATCCGGCTTGGTCCATTGCATTTATCTCCTCTCCTGTTACAAATACATCACCTACAAAATATGACTGTAAGAAGATCCGGTAGTAACAGGAAGGAGAAAATGTGATAGACCTGACCAGGATTTGAACCTAAAACCCCTGAATTGTAAACAGATATTGATGCTCTACCTATTTGGCCAATGATAATCAAAGCTACCTGAACACTACAACTTACAGCAAAGAACTTTATTCGGTAATAACCAATATTTGCCCCCCCAAATCAAACTTTGATGGAGATATATTTGATGAAGTTCTTAAACAGGGGAGTATATGCTGACTTCAAAGCACTGAACATGACGCCATATATACGTAATGAACGTCACAAACATGACGTAAAAGTTTTTTTGAATTTTACAGAAAAAACAAGATATTTTGCTCTACGCTATGTGTGTTCAGGATCAATATTTCGATATAACGTGTAGAATGATAATATCAATGAAATATGTCAATATTGTTCCTGAACAAACTTGGTAAAATTGTTGAAATTTTGTCAATTTTGCTGAAAAAGGATATAAAATCGGACTAGTTTGTACGTCATAAAAACAAAAATTGTGACTGCTTTGACACTATAATACAATTTATTGAATTCAGCACATTTCAGGAAGTTTTCAAAATTTGACTTTTTTGGGGGCAAATATATGCAATATACCGCATATAGTTCTTTTGTTTAAAACAATTCTTTTTAAATGGCACTTGGTAAGTTATTATGCCTTAGAGACGATAGAATAAATGCTTTTTACACTAAACTTGGTCAGCAAATAGAATAAGGGAATTGTTTTCTTACATAGATTTAAAGACAGATGCTGTAGCATCAATACATTGGAGATACACAGTAGATGATTTAATCTGATATATTTGTATACCCATGTCTAGGAATGTGTACCAGAAAACTTGGATCTGAAGAGGAAGGTGTTTGCACAGATTGACCAGATCGTGAGCGGAGAGACGGTAGTCGCCAGCTCCAGCAGTTGTCTCCCTGCTTCCTCCTTCACGGAGGGCCTGAAGAACAGAGAACGGATGCTAGTGGCTCACCCAGTAAGGCCACAATTAAAATATTGGTATAATAAAAATAGAACAGATGTAGTGGCTCACCCAATAAGGAACTCTGTTGTCAGGCAGGGCCAATAAAGACATTTACCTACTGAGTCTTTAAGAATAAAAAATGAAAACTTCCCCTTTAATTGCAGGGAAGATAAATTAGTAATACTTTGTACACCATACATGTGACAGATAAAAAATATAAGGAATTAATGGGCAACTGATTTGTATATATTCCTTGTTAGTAAGATTCCTTGTAAATGTCGTAGTGAAATGAAAGCAAGTTTTGCAACACATCACTATGTATGGCACATAATTATGTAAATATGTAAAAGTTGGATTTTTTCCCTTTAATTTTATAAAATTTGACACGACAGATAAACCCACCATACTTTGTTCCTTTGGTTGAACTGGTTCCCGCTCCATGGACTAAACAGGAAGCTCTGACGATGGCGCGTGAGCTGATGGAGAAAGTAGGTCAGTCCCCGGTCACTCTCCGGAGGGAGAGTCTAGGGTTCGCGCTCAACAGAATACAGTATGCAGCCATTAACGAGTGCTGGAACATGTATCAGGTACTATTCAATTCAAGCACGGGCAATTCCAAACAATGATCAGTCTGTCATAAAAAGTATTACTTTTCAGAAAAAAAATTTCTAATATACAATAGTAAAAGTTTGCTGTTTTTAAGATTGGTACATTGATTTAACTACTTGAAGAGTTCAATATTCATTAAGGCCAAAGATCTTTTGCATTGCTCTCTAAGAGAACTAGGCTTATTCAATCAAATAATTCTCAAGATTAGGTTGAATGTCTTCTATATGTAAAATTTTTATCTTGTATTGTACACAAATTCTGTAAATGACTAGAGTATTGTCCCTTGGTTACAGTCAGGTTTGTTGAGTGCTGAGGATATTGACAAAGTGTGTTATGACGGACTCGGTCCCAGATACGCCTTCATCGGACCACTGCAGACAATGCATCTTAATGCTGACGGTTTGTGTGTTAATTGTTAAACTGAAATAAAATTAAATGATTGAAAAATCAGCCAAACATCACCTTGGTTAAATGCTTATGGAAGACAGGTTATATAAAACTGATAAGAAACTGAGATGATAAATCTGATTTTGTGATAAATTATTATTTAAGATATAAGGTATCATTTTTTGAGTTTTATTGAGATGTAAAATGGGTTGGTCACGTGATCAAATCCCATAAAGCCCGAAGGGCTTTATGGAAGATTTGATCATGTGCCAACGCGTTTTACATCTCAATAAAACTCAAAAAATGATACCTTATTACTTATATTTACATTTGTGACTTATTCATACTTTATATTTGCATGATTATTACTTTTAATGTGTGAAATGCGTTAATTTTTCAAACCCAACGGCATGTATGTAATCCACTTAACGCGCGTCGACCCTTTATGACGTCACAGAGAAATTACGTCGAACGTTTATCCAAACGCACATCTATGACCTCTTGACCCCGTACCTGTATTTATACAGTTATAAAAACGCTTGCCTTCAGTAGTGTTATATAAAGGAAAACATTTGCAAATGTAAATATATCACTATCAGGTTTACTGTGATGCTAATTTGCTAAAGTAAAAAAATCTTCTTTCTGTTGAATCAGGCATCGTGGACTACTGTAAGAGGTATGCTGACGGAGCCTATAATGTTCAGAAAGAGACTTTTAAACCTATCCCTGTACAGTATGATGTAGAAACAGCAGAGAAGATTCAGGCTGAATATAATGCTTCAATCCCATTGGATAAAATTCCAGACAAGAGGAAATGGAGAGACACCAGACTTGCCAATTTAGCTAAAATGAAGAAACAGTTAGAAGATAAATAGCAAGAGTGATCTTAGATTTTGTAACCACAATATATTTTATAATGTATAGTCTATTGAAATTAATTTTTAAATCCATGCAAGTTAACATGTAGAGAAAATGTATACATTATTATTATACTGATGATTCTGATGTGTATCCTAAAAGTGTGAGATTGTAGAAAATACTAGTCTAATATGTCTTAAATCAACAATTTAGCATTATCTAATAATCTCAGGGAATTTGGAAAAGGATTAACGGATTAACAGCTTTGACATTTAGTTGTTTTAAAATCCAAGGAAAAATTAAGTATTTACAATATTTATGATTTAATATTTTTATTTCCAATGTCTTTCAAGGTTAAAAATAAATCAAATGCGGAGCGGGACAAATAGAGACAGAAGTGGGGATTGTAGCATGTGAATTTGCGGAATCAAGAGAATGTAAATGTAGGGAATAACTGTCGGATTTGTTTTTTAATGTAACAGGCGGGGAAAAATGTCAGCCAGAGTGGGACGAACCTGGTGCTCTAACCACTGAGCTACCAGGCCGACGTACCCAATCCACTCTTTCCCCCTTTTTCATAGACAGCTATTCCCTAATTACGTTTACAAATCATTTAACTTAATTGATTCTGATCAATGTGTCTAATTTACCTTAAAAGTCTAAAGGGAGATAAACATTCATTTTTAGTTATTATTTAATTTACACATGTTGATTTGCATAGGAATTTATGAGATGTTAGTAGTTTTAAATAGAAAACGGCACTCGTACATAGCCTCTTAAGGAACAAGACTCTTAAGTTGAAAGGAGATCCTTTGGATCTGACCGTAAGTCTTCATCTAAGCAGGAATTAGAATAAAACGGACTATTTTCACCAGGAAATTTTTTAAATAAATATTTTCCCATTCGTTCCAAATGATAAAAAGATGTTTGTATTTCCTACAAATATACATTGACTGTTGCTTCCAAACTTTTTAATTACCAAAAAATTTACATGGCATGGATATCGAGTACTCAGTATCTGAATCATAATCCTCCATCATGTTCATGTTCTTCTTCACCCTATAACTATAGTCCTGCTGAACACATTATTACAGGGATGTAATTATAGTTAATAATTAGGACCATATATTACTAATTTGAAAAGGTCCTAAATATAGGGAGCCTTGATCCTTCAAATGGTATCGGAATTTCATAATATAATGGATTCTGTTGAAGATTATGCCAGGCGATGGTCCAGATATGAAAACACTTTGTCAGAATGGATTAAACATATTAGATCCATGTTAAAATCGCGTATTAAAAGATTGAGGAGAAATATGAAAACCATCAGTACGTACTGATCATTGTTGACAAAGCAGGTAACAACATTGTCGTCGTTTGTAAGGCTCATTATATAAGTTGTATTTTAGAAGAACTTGGATTTAATTCTACAAGTGTTAATTCATCTAACACTCATGGTCCCCTTTCTAAGGAAGCAATAATTCTTCAAAATCATACGTCAGTTTTGAATGAATTTTTAATACCCCAAAGAACCAAAATGAATTTGAACTACCATATATATATATATATATATATATATATATATATATATATATATATATATATATATATATATATATATATATATATATATATAAATCAAAAAGAAAACACAAAAATCCTCAGTTAAGCTTTAGCGCTTTCATTTTCAATCTTCAGAAGCTTACAATAGTATCATGATACTATTTGTGTTTTCTTTTAAAAAAATTTTTTTAATATTGTTATCCGATTATGAGAACTATATATATATATATATATATATATATATATATATATATATATATATATATATATATATATATATATATATATATATATATATTGAATTCCGAAACTTCATAAGAATCCTTACAAACAAACATACATAGCGGGTTCCAGTAAATATTCAACCAAGCCTCTTTCGTTAATCCTCACTAAGATATTGACAGTAGTGGAGGAGAAACTTCGAGAGTACTGTGCACCAATATATTCTAGAAGTGGTGTAAATCATATGTGGATACTTAAAAATTCCAGGGAACTTTTGGACAATTTTACCAAAATCAACAGCTTAAAAACTTTTCGACTTTTTAACTTTATACACATTCATTCCCCACAATAAGTTAAAGTCCAGACCTTTTGATATCATGGACAGCTGCTTTTTCAGTAAAAATGGAACTTAATTTACTTAACTTGTCATTTGCAAAATTATTTTGTCAAAATAACATTCTGATATTGATTGAACACACCTGTACTCTGAAGTTGACATCAAAAATATGATTGAGTTTCTGATTGACAATATCTATGTTATTTTTGGAGACCAGGTCTTCTAACAATCTGTTGGAATTCCCATGGGTACCAACTGCGCCTCGTTTTTAGCAGACCTATTTTTGTATTCATATGAAGCTGACTTTGTGCAAAATCTTATGCGTGATAAGAAGAAAACACTTGCTGCCGCCTTCAACTCATTTAGGTATATCGACGACGTAATTGTCAATTAACAATGGTAATTTCCATTCTTATGTCGATACGATATATCCTGGTGAGCTTGAGATAAAAGATACCACAGAGTCTGACACATCTTTTTCATATTTGGTTATTTTACTTGAAATTAAAAGACGATAATGGTAATCTAACAACCAGGCTCTATGATAAACGTGATGACTTTAACTTTTCAATCGACAACTTCCCTTACTTATGCAGCAATATACCTTCATCATCTGCATACGAGAGCATGATCTATGTATGAAATATTTCTAAAACGAGGTAAATTATTAAAAACAAGTTTAAGAAACAAGAATATCAGCAGTCTTGTTTAGTCATTATTTCGTAGGTTCTATTGTCGATACAATGACCTTGTCAGCAAATACAATTTATCATTGAGTCAAATGCTGACTGACGTTTTTCTTCCTAAATGTTAGTCCATTATTTATATACTGAATTGAAGACGGAATTTTCCTTTATTTCCCGATAATGACAAGGAGCACACGGCGGGTGTGACCGGTCGACAGGGGATGCTCATTCCTCCATGGTACCTGATCCCATCTCTTATGTATTGGAGGTCCGTGTTTGCTCTGCTCCTGTTTATGGTTTTTTTTTTATCTTGAATACTGTTCGTTATCTCCATGTGTTTCATTCTGATACTTGTGTATTCATTAAATAGATGTTCTGACTTTGTCATATTCCTGCAACCATTATAGAATGTATACCAGAAAGCCTAGATGTTATTTTTAACATACGTAATAAGTACTTCATGGGAAAACCCAAAGTAAGAAAAAGAAATGGTAAAATACACTAGATTTTTTGGTCGATCAATGGTGAAACTTTCCAAAAAATTCATTGGATGATCGACTTGATGACGCAATAAGGTCATGGCTCGTAAGTCATTTGTCTACGACTCTTTGTTGTTCAAACTGACTTGTATTTACACTGACAGCAGACGATAACACGGTAGTTTATCATGACGTGGCCTCTTTGCCTACCCAGGTATTCCCGACTGGCTTTACAATGATTTAGAATACACTGTCAACTACAACAAATAATTATCAAAGATCTGTTAGATACGAAATCATCGTGTTAGATACACCTCTTTCTTAATGAAGTTTTGGTTACTAAGGATACTGAATTTAAAGCACTTTTTGTCATTAGATAAAGGTAAGATGGTTGTTAAATATCCAAAGTAACCATGTAGATAATTTTTGAAGCAGATTCCTCTAAGAACAATAACCGTATATCATTACTAGAAAGTGCACTCGTTTTTCGACAAGGAATGATAAGCATTTCAAACTATCTTCCTCGTGCATACTGCTTGTTGAATGCCAATAACTATTAAAAATGCCAAGAGGGCTAATTTCAAGGTCACCTGAGCAAATCAGATGACATTGTTATTATATTATTGGACAGGTGATAGCTGTTATTTTCATTTTTTTTTTTTTTTTTTTTTTTTTGGACAAAAGTTTGAAAAACAAGAGTTTTTTGTATTTTATTTATTCAAATGTATATCCTGGAAATTTATCACTATTTGCATAATTTGCAGATGATACAAACAAAAAAGAAGATGCCTGGATTGGTATATGTTTTTGGCCTCAATACCTTAAAAATGAGAACAGGCTTACATCAAATATACAAAGAAATATAATTTCTTAAAAATTTTTGATAATTAAATAAAATATACTAACACGGGGCGTTTTTAAACCCTATGAAAAATAAATTAAAGATAAATGCAGAATCAAACTATTGACTCGAGCTGCATTTATTCTCAGTTTATTGGTCATTGGGCTTGGTTTCAATGTTCAGGCCCCAGAGTGGGATCGAGTTGGTGATATACATATTTAAAAATCTATTTCAATATTTATTATTTACTTCTGACATCATAGAGAAAAAAATGGCATTGATTATAGTTTGAAATCCAACGAAAAAGTGGGAAATTCATCACAAAAGTATTCCGTGTTCAAATCATATGGTTTTGCTGTCTTGGTCATATATTAAAAGAAACCCCAAATTATTATCAATTAATCATGAAATGATATAAATGTTTTTATTCGAAGGAAAATATCTAAATACGAAACAAATGTTTCAAACTCTCTGGAATTTATCTTTTATTTCAAAAGTTCAAAGGAATATATCGAATCAACATAGGAATTGAATATTGTTAATAGATAAATCGTCGTCAATAATATGAAATATCGATTGGAAAACAACAGCAAGATACTTTTTTGTAAAAGTTTTTGAGTAAATTCTGTTTCGCATGAATATAAAATATAAGGCATGTTAGTTACTGGGTGCAATTACACTCGAGGGAATTAAACAGATTATTGGAAGACTTCATCAAAAACTAGGCCTAGTACACTGAAATTGGTCTCCAAATACCACAAAGATGTTGTCAATCAGAAACTCGAACATCATTTAAATTTCAACTTCTTAGTACCCTTGTATACTACTGAAGGTGTTTAAAAAAAATTAAAATTTTACAAATGGCAAGGAAATTTACGAGTTCCATTTGTATTGCAAGGGCAGCTTTTTATCATTTTTAGAGCCTAGACTTTGATTTATGGTGGGAAATGTAGTACATGTATAAATGTTTGAGGAATCCTACGTTTTGTTGTAAGTGGTGAAGAAAACAAGCAGTAGTCGATAAAAAAAAAATCCATACACAATACAAATCTGTCAAGAGGCCATAAAACCCGATCCTTAGAGGAGTAACCATCTATTGACCTGTCACGTGCGCCGTAAGTCCCTCTTATTGATTCAGGTAGACAGAACTTCCGCTGTCAAATTCAGTATAAAAACAAAGCACTAACAATTGGTACGAAACAAGTCAGCCAAAATTGGACCCTATGTGGTAGAAAGATCATCATAGCGACAGTAGATTGAAATATATGGAGATAACGAACAGTACAAATCAGGACTAGTACAAGCATGTCAGACGTGGGATCAGATGCCATAGAGGAGTGAGCATCCCTGATCAAACTTGTCACACACACCTTGTACTCTTCGGCATGACCGGGAAATGACGAAAAAAATCCTTTGATAATTAAGTGTGTAAATAATGACTCTTTCAATTAGTATGCAAAATGTCAGTGTCAACATTCGACTTAATGATAGATTGTATTTGCTGACAAGATTATTGTATCGAACATTATATACTTACGATTTGATGACTTAAAAAAACTGCTGATATTATTGATTAATCAAATTATTTGTCAGTAACTTTCTTTTAGAAATTGTTCATATTCAAATCATGATGTTGTGTATCGAATCAACTGAGATTTATAAAGTTTATAAACCCTTTATGCAGGTGATGAGGATATATTGCTGCATAAGTAAGGGAAGCTGAAGATTGAAAAGAGAAAGTCATCAAGTTTTTTATAAACCTTGGATATTAGAATACCATTAAGGTTTTTTTAAGTAAAATATCCAAATATGAAACAAATGTGTAAGACTCTGTGTTTATATTCATATGAAGCAGAATTTGTGCAATCTCATGCGTGAAAAGAAGGTCAGCAAGGGATGCTCACTCCTCCATGGCACCTGATCCCACCTCTGATGTTTCGGAGGTCCGTGTTTGCTCTGCTCCTCTTTTGTATTGTTTTATGGACTTTGAGATTGAATACAGTTCGTTATCTCCACATCCTTCATGTAAGACTCTCCAAGAAACATCGTATCGACATAAGATGAAAAAAAAAATTAATTGACAATACGTCGTCGATATATCTAAATGTCGGGTTGAAGGCCACAGCAAATGTTTTCTTTTTACGTAAAAGAAGAAATTCAGATTTATATGAATAAAATATAGGTCTGCTAATAACAGGTTGCAATTAATACTCAGTGGAATTCCAATAGATTGTTAAAAATCTGGTCTCCAATAACCAAATAGATATTGTCAATAACAAAACTTCAGTATTTGTTTTATCTCAACTTCAGAGTATTTGTAAGTACCATCAAATTGTTTTTCAACAAAATAATTTTACAAATTACCATTGTCATGGTAAGTAAATTTACAAGCTCCGTTTTTATTGAAAAAAAAACTGTCAGTGATGCCAGAAAGCTTGCGCAATAATTTATTGTTTGGAGTTGTTTAATAAATATAAAGTTGAAAAATCGTGAGTTTTTATGTTGTTGATTTTTCTATTTCAAATGTTCCTAAATTTTCTTGGAATTTTTTGGCATCAAGATCTAATTTACACCACTTCTCGAATGTACTGCTGCATACGATGTAATTCAATACTAGTACTGCTAATACCTTAGTAAGGGGTAAAGAAGGAGGCTTTGTGGAACATTTACTGGAACCCGCTATCACCATCTCATATAAAACATCCAAATATGAAAAAAAAAAATTCGAAAGGCTCTGTTGTGAATGGAATCCGGAGAGGGCCATGCAGTTCACTGTCGCATCATCGCACCATCGAGGTTTGGGTTGATAATGCGATGACACGATAATGCGATGACGATGAAGCGATGGTGCGATAACGATGAAGTGATGGTGCGATAGTGCGATGACGATGAAGCGATGGCGCGATAATGCAATGACGATGGTACGATAGCACGATGAAGCGATGGTGCTATGACGCGATGGTGCGATAGCGATGACACTATGGTGCGATAACGATGGCGCGATGGTACGATGACGATGAAGCGATATCCACTTTTACTCTATCGTTCTATCGCATCATCGCCATCGCATTATCGCACCATCGCATTATCGTCATCGCGCTATCGCGTCATCGCTTCATCGTTATCGCACCATCGCTTCATCGTCATCGCACTATCGCGTCATCGTACCATCGACTCAAATCTCGATGGTGCGATGATGCGATAGTGAACTGCGTGGCCCTATCCGGATTCCATAGTTGTGTCTTAAATTTCACTGGGATATATCGAGTCGACATACGAATGAAAATACCTTTTGTTAATTTTGAATACATCGTCGATATATCTGAATGCCGATAGGAAGGCCATAGCTAGTTTTTCCTCTTCTCATGTAGAAGTCTTTGAATAAATTCTGCTTCATAGGAATAGAAAAACAGATCAGCTATAACAAAGGATTAAAATTGGTGCCAATCGGATTTCTAATAGTTTGTTTGAAACTTTAGTCTTCGAAGACTCTGTTTTTCAGTGAGGAACTCTTGAGCATTCTTTAAATATCAACTTCAGAGTACTTGTGTGTACAATCAGAGTGCATGGTTTTTAACGACGTATTTTTGCTGATGACCAAACACAAGATATTAAACTTTCCGAGTTCCATTTTTATTATTGAAGCAGTTGTCTATGATATCAAACCGTCTAGATTTAAATTTATGACGAATTGTTGCATAAAATATTTTAAAAAGTCGTAAGTTCTGATGTTAAAGACTTTCGAAAACTTAAGTAATTTTAAAATTTCTAAAAGCTCTTTCAAAAGAGTTTTTGGGGATCCACAACTGTTTTACATCATTTGTAGAATAAGCTATACACAACATAGTACTGTACTTCTGCTTTACATAAAGATAAAGACTTGGTAGAGCATTTGCTGGACCCATCAATGTACTAATATCTTTCTTTGTAAGTATTTTTATGAAGTTTAGAATTCCAGTACAGGTAGGGTAGATCGGACTCAACTTGGTTGACTAGTAAATTAAAAGTACTACAAACTAAAATGTGATTCTGAATGATTTCTTCCTTGGAAAGTGAACTTTTAGTATATGTTGGGTTTCCATACCCATAATTAAAAAATGAAATAATTTATTCTATGTGAATTGTTTAATTTATTCATGAACATCGAGATACAGTAATTGCTTGATATTAAAAAAAAAACACACCTAAAATTGTGAACTTCCGGGTCCGTAGGTCAATGGGGGTTCACTCCCCAGGTCATAAATAAGTTTGCCTTGTTTACTCACAAACAGCTAGCTAGTAAAAAGTATATAGGACTACAATATCAGCAGCAAGTACCCCCTCTATCCTTATTGTGAAATTCTAACATGTATGATATAGAGAAAATTAGGACTCCCTCATCGAGTTATATTCTTCCTCTCATCAATGTTTCACTTTACGGTTATTTTAGAAAAAATCCCCAAAGAACAGAATATTTCACATTTAAGCATCGATATTAATATGCATGTTTATATTTCACGTCATTCTTACTAAATGATTAAATGCCCTTCGTACGTTGTACTTTAAAAGGCAAGGCGAGAAGGGGCAGGATTATTGTGTTGTCAATGAGAGAAAGAAATTTCAGCAATCTTTATATCTCCCATTTCCGTTCTAACCCAAGTCAAACTTAAAGTTTTGATTTAAAATGTTTGTGGAACACTTCAGATTCTCCCGCGCTTGGGTAATATGTTTTGATCTTTAACCTAGAAAAAATGAATTATGACCTGTTTGTGTGTCAGGAAATCAATCAGACAGGAATTTTATTAAGCAAGCTTTTAATTTTTTTTTTCAATCTGAGTTAAAAAAAAATATTAAGTTGCTTTTTAATTTATCACAATTAAATATAAAATTTGAAAAAGTATAAAAGTGATTTTACATCTGTTCCACTTCGAATACCCGGTATGATCAAGCAAACGTGTTAAGGTCTTAAGAATAGGGCAATCAATAGATAAGAATGACTTCAAAAATCTTATGTTTATATTTAGATTATCTTTAAATTAGGAAGAGGAAGTATATATGTACTTGATAATACTTTAATGAGAACGTTTTCCTCTTTAAAATCTATATATTGTCGGAGACCCACAAATTAATTCGTATAAAATTGACTATCTATGCGAGATTAGTCACGGATTTGCAGCCGATAGACTGAAACTTTTTCAGAAAAAATGAATATTTCATTTCTCATAACTATTATTCATATTGCTGATTGCTTCTAAATCCTAAAATTATGATGAAATTTCATTTTGCAAAGGTATAAAAAAAAATTCCTTTAATTCACATATTTTGATGAGAGTTTAATTTTCGTTGTTTTCAAGATGGGTAGTGATCATCGGATTAATGTCAAGCATAAAATGCAAAATGTCATACATAAATACTCAACAATTCTTCATCCACGGAATCAATTCATCACGATCTCATAGTTTATTCTCTTATCATGAAATGTGGCTCCGTTCATATTATGTGATTTTACAGTACGTAGCTGTTTGTTGTAAAAAAGTGATTTCTAACGATAAATTTACCATACATTAGTCTTTAAAAAATCGGCAGGTATACTAGTATATTAAAAAAAATAAATTTTAGACCTTATTGTTAAATTCAATGTGTTTATAATACGGAAAAAATATTTTTACAATAATTTTATTTTCAACAAAAACAAGTTTGATCAAATGCTTGCAAATAAGATACTTCATATTTCAAAAAAGTCATTTGATGAAATTGAGTAGATAAAAAATAATATCAGTATTTTACTCCTGAGTATTTTAAGACAACCAATTTTAATATCGTAATACGTGAACACATCCATTACCCTGTCCAACACACAGGTGACCGTCCTTTGTAACACACAGTCCCATTGGTCTACTGATGCCCAATGGCTGCAACTTTATCGAAGTTAGAAATCGGCCATCTTGGAGGAGAACATCTATCATCTTATGCCCAAAGTCCGAAACAAGTACGTTATATCTAGAATCAGAACATATACCTATTGGTTCAAAATTTGTTCGGCTTCCTGTGTATTCAAATTTAAATATACCCATACTGTTCATTCCAATGACACTTTCAGAGGCGGCATCAATGACACAAAGATCTCTATTACCATTCTCAATAATCTTAATAGGCTTCTTAAGAAGGGGCACCCCCTTTCTGTAGCAAATTATTTCCAACCAATCGGCACATTCTTCATTAAAATAATGCACTATTTTCCCACTAGTCCCATGTTGGTGCATAGATACATAGAATCCACCATTACTGGCCAAACACAGGCCACATGGAGAGTAAGGATAAGTGTGTTTTAAACGTACGGTTAACGCCGGGGTTATTTTGTATATACAGTGTTCATTAGATACAGAATATATTACTTCACCGGAAGTTGACACTATAAAACCGGAAGGATGTAGAGAACAGAGCTTCCTTTCTACCTCCTCGCCCGTCTTTGGTTTCACGGACACAAAAAAACCCGTTTTACTGATCCAGACACAATCATTTCTCGTGAACAGGTGCTCTATGTAGATGTCATAGCTCCAAGATTTCAACACTCTTATTTCCTCTTTGAAAATAGTCCTAGACTTCCGTATGTTTCCAAAATAATCCCCGACCAGAGATCCTGGCCTAGGTGTGTGAAGTTCTAATGTTGGGATCTGTCTCGGTGAAGAGTGTGTTGTATGCAACTCAGAAAGTGGCTTTTTAGCTGTATTGAACTCCAATATTTCATAGATGTTTCCAGTATTGGTCACATTTTCACACGTTTTCATCAGAAAATCAATTTCTCTTTTCTTATCCTCAAGATTTGCTATTCTACTCGCTAAGCCTGGACTGAATTCCAGTCTGTGTCCATTAATACTGTTTTTCAATTTCTGAGATGTCCTTATTATCTCTTTTATAAAGCTTTCTTTTCTCTTCTCCACCTCTCTGGTCAGCTCATCACAGTTTCCTTCAAGGCGAGATTTTACTAAGTAGTGCTCATGAATAATTTCCCGAAGAGGATTAAGACATATATCGGTTACATTATTGTGATATTCTGAAATTTCTTCTTTTAATTCATTGGTCTTTTCCGTAGCTGACATATATTGATGACCTTCATGTTTTCCGAATCTAGACTGTTTACACAAGTTGCACACAAATTCACCACAAACATTGCAATATGACGTCAGTTTTGAATGGTGAAGGAGACATAAAGTTTCTTGCCTTGCCATTCTACATGTATTCCGTGGTTTAGAAAACTTCTTTGACCTGGAAGAGAATTTCCACATGTGTATAAATCTTTCCTCTGTCAAAAATATATCTTAAAGTAAGTCAATCTGCATGCATATATGTAGCCAACCAGTGAACCCTCCTTTAGCAATAAAAATCTTGAATTGTATACTTTTATCATCTAGCTTTAAGGGTATATGGATGGAAGGAAATGCTTCTCAGACGATAAGACATCCTCTACACTAGAGAGACACCCGTTTGATAGACCATTTGTTTGTTTTTTGATTGGCTACAACTTGCATTTTTAAGTCTGTCCCACTGTAGGTCGCACTGATAAGGCTGACGTGGGATAGTCGTGCATACGTTTGTCAAAGCAATACGGGAATTTTGATGCATTGATAAGCAGCTCAGGTTGCATGGGTTAGAAAGAAAACAGGAGACCAACATGCTAAGGATTTTTCATGTTGACAGCAAGAAAAACAAAAAACAAGACCATTTAGAAATTTTATCTAACAAATACTGTTACAGTAGCCTTTCAACATTTTTTTTTGAAAAAGTGATTTACTTTACTTCTTCACTATTCACTTAAATGCCTGCTTATTTTATTCACCCCTCAATTAACTAAGAACACTTGTCTTGTTTTAATTTGTACACGTATAATGTTATTGTGTAGATATTTAAACAAGGAACCATTGTCTAAGTTTGCTTCACTATTAAACGATTGTCTCTATTATACACTGTATGTTCTTATATTTTTCAAAAAAGTATTTATGGGCATGTTTAGTGGATGCAAAAAGTGTACTTAAAAGAGACCCATTTTCTGGACTTCAAAATTAATTCTTAAAATGCATTTAATGGCCTGACCTCCCTGTTGAATGAAGCCAACAATCTTTCTAAATGTGACATGTGCCTACATAAAAGTGTAAGAATCAGAAAAATATGACATTTCATAGTATGCGTTCATTCTTCCTGTTACACAAAAAGGCCAACATAGAAAACCCTGGTTTTTCTGTGTCTAAAAATACAACGCAGCATGAGATTTGATTTCTAGTATACCAAATGCATAATCATGTCCTATAAATTATCAGAAATCTTTTAAATTGATTCTTAATAAAAGTACACCTAAAACAAAACAGGCAACTATTGTACTAAAATTACCAACCTTTTCTCCTTAGCTTGCGTTTCAAAATGTTGTGTAGTTCCTGTATTTAAACAGGAATTAAAACCGAAAACTAGGTCAGCTCCTACATTATTCCGTTCTCTGGGATACAATCTCATCATTTATGTTAGAAAATGAAATTTCTAAAAATTTGATTAACCTTCAAAATACTATTATATATAAAAAATATACTTTTAATTATGAAAAATGTCAATGTTTATAAAAACCTTATTATTATGAGAGGAAAAAAAAAACCCTGAACTGACAAATAAAACAGGCAATACAGTCAGGTAATAGAATTAATACATGCATATATATTCGTATTCCTAATAATTATTAAGCCTAAAAATTAATGTACAGATATACACGGTTTTCTTAATTAGCAAGATAACATTTACACTCACTCTCATGCTGAATTCAGTACTTGTATGTGGTATAGCTATAAGGACCGGGCTGTGAGGTATGACTGGTATGCTGGACAAGCAGGTAACACAGGAAACCAGGTACTTCAGTTTCTTTTTGCAGATTATAGGTACGGTTACCTTAAACCTTTCAGGGTCTGGACTTAACAGCGCGAGGTGAACCAGGTATTCATTCTCTCAGAGTATAGGTATCGTAACCTTAAACCACTCATGATCTGGACTTAACAGCTATACAACATACAAACACAGCTCGGAGTACGCATGTAAAATTACTACGTATGTTAAACATATGTTCGACGTATGTTTTCAAATATATGTTAAACATACGTTGTTTGTTTTTTTTATGTTTAACGTATGTTTCAAACATATGATAAACGTATGAATAACGTATGTTCCAATTTTACCTGTTTATGGACCCTACAAGTATACAACATACAAACATGGCTCGGAGTATGTTCTTCACAAGTATATTACATACAAACATACGCGAGGGTCTGGACGTTGTAAATAGAATTGTCAAAACCTCTGCCACCTTTGCCAACATACGGACATCTGAAAATTCAGAACAAAAACAAAAATAGATATTCAAAACAAATGTCATCGAGATCCTCCTCTTCGGATCTGAGTCCTCCAAGTTGACAAACATCACTTAAAAATTAAAAACTTCCCAAACAATAAGTCACCTATAATACTCAAAACATTCTATTCGAACAAGATAAGCAATGAGGAGCTGTATGAAAGAACACAAACAGCTGCCGTATCCGACCAGATTAAAGAGAGACGATGGTAATGGATTAGCCATATCCTGCGAATGAAAACATCATATATTCCAAGCCTTATAAATGACTGCACCAGGAAAGCGAAACAAAGGGCGACCAAAGGAGACGTGGCGATCAGTAGAAAAAGAAATGAAAGATCAGCGATAGACATGGAATATTGTACGGTAAATGGCAGCAGACAGACAGAGATGGAAGTCATCGTTGGAGGCAAGTACAACTGAGAACGTGATCTTTACAACTTTAACCCATACAAACGTATGAATTAAAAGGATTCGAAACAAGTTCTTACAACTTTCTGGATCCATACAAACGTAACCCATAGTCTGACCTTCACAACTTCACCTCATACATGTACATATCGTAGAGCCTGATCTAAACAAATTTACAACATACAGAGCTTTGTTTTAACTTCAATAACATAGAAACATAGAGCAAACATTGATCTCTAAAACATTAGGAGTGGGATCAGATTCCATTGTGGAGTAAGCATTCATTGCCGATTGGTCAAAACAAGTGCGCTCTCTGTCACAATCGAGAACAGGGGGAAAATTTGTAGACAATTCAAAGTGTAAATAATGACCTAACAATAAGTACATTGTATAATAAACGTCCATGAGCATTTGATTTGATGATACTAATAAGCTGTATTTGCTGACAAGATCATTGTATAGACCACGGAATTCGCAAAAGGAATGCAAAAGGATGATCATTGATATTCCTCGTTCATCAACTTACCTTGATTTAGGAATTGCTCTTGTGTGTCCAATCAACTTAAATACATTAACCCCATGTGCAGGTGACAAGAGTGTATTGCCATGCATAAGTGAGGGAAGTAAACAATTTAAAAGTTAATGTCATCACTTTTATCATAATGCTTTATTTGGTAACCATTAAATTTTTTTGTGTACTTAAATATCCAAATATGACAGATATGTCAGATTTTTTGGTGTCTTTTATAAGAACGATACATATCCAGTTATAGTTCAGGGTAACATCCTGATAGCTATGCAACGTTCCATAGGCAACGTCGCCATGCGTTTAGGCATTGGGACATTCATAGAATACTTTTGTAGCAATTAAATTCATTAATAATATGAAAAAGTAGACTACATGTAGTACAGTGTATTAATATGTTTTAGGAACTGAAAACATATAATTTAATGATGATATGATGTTTTTTTTCTTGTGTTCAATTATTTATAAAGAGTTAGAAACATATGATAAGAATAATTTATATGCTGTAAAACAACGCACACACAAACACTGATAAAACGACAAAAGTGAGAACATTTTCCAAGTTTATACCAGTATCCTGTGCAAAGTTCTATATTCATCAAATACTGTACATTGTTCATTTAAAATTAATATCCTGATACGACAGAAACCACCCCCAAAACAGGAAGTTATTGTTTTCCGACGTTATCGACAGTAGAGGAGGGATTCTAACTAGGAAATAGAAAAATAGGAAGATGAATATAACTCAACAAAAAACCCCTCATCCAGGAGGAATTTAAATTAGTACTCATATATTTTTCACTCTGTTTGAAGAAAGATCTTTTTTTAAATCGTTAATATATACGTCATCGATGTCTTAATCGTGAACAAACTCAATTTGTATACATGAATGTTGCTAGCCTAGACTAGAATGTTGCCAATATGACTTATATTTTATTGAGTATCATGTGCTTTAACTCGTGGATATTTCTCGTACGCTAAAAATATTTGGTTTACAATATGTTTGTTTTATATACTGAGCATTGTTGCATAATTGACATAAGTGATGACACATGTAACAAACAGTGATTCGATATCATCTCAAATTTATATTTATATACTCACCGTCAATAGAAACGTAACATCCTAATTTAAGGGGTGAAAATTATGTACGGGATATAACTATGTACCAAAAAAGTTAGGACATCTTTTACTTTGCCAAATCAGTTATTTAACGGTTGAACGATTTTCATTCCATTACCGGAAGTTGATTTTTTAGCCCTTTTAACAGAAATCAAAAATTAGCATTTTTAATAAAATTATTGACAATATTTTGGGTTTTCAAGGTTTTGTACCTGTTAATCATAAGTCTTGTACTAAAATTCCGGAAAAAAATATCCTTCTTTCTTTTCCGGATGTGATGCCTTTATTTCCTCAAAATTACTGAAAGCACGCAAATTTTCATTGCTCACGTTGGAAATTTTCAAAATAAAGAAAAGGGAGAGCTACAGATGCAAATATACACTACATAACGACTTTTCGGGCTCATGTGTTTCAAAAGCATGAATGACAGTTCCTTGACCGGAAGTACAAGGGTTACTACACTACGCCAAGTTAGAGAAAATTCGACCTCTATATATATATATATATATATATATATATATATATATATATATATATAAAGCACATTTTACAACAACTCTTAAACTACAACAACTCTTAAACTAACATAACTGCCCTAAGTGAAGAAATATTAATATAGAAAGCACAAAGAAATTCACTTTTACATGGATACCCACTTCCGCCCCAGCCCGGGGTTGAACTCTCGACCTTCGGAATCTGTCTCCTAGCAGTGCAGGAACAGCGCGCTAGACCGCTCGGCTATCTAGGCAAGTCAAAGAACTTGCTTTCGATGCCGATGGAATTCTCGCGGCACTGTCCTACACTACACGGTCATTGAGAATAGAAGTGAGATACAGTTATTTGGATATTAGTTTTAACAGAGGATTGTTACCAATACATGTTGTAATGAAATTAATTATTATTTATAAAGCACATTTTACAACAATTTCTTTGTGCTTTCTATATTAATATTTCTTCACTTAGGGCAGTTATGTTAGTTTAAGAGTTGTTGTAAAATATGCTTTATAAATAATAATTAATTTCATTACAACATGCATTGGTAACAATCCTCTGTTAAAACTAATATCCAAATAACTGTATCTCACTTCTATTCTCAATGACCGTGTAGTGTAGGACAGTGCCGCGAGGATTCAATCGGCATCGAAAGCAAGTTTTTTGACTTGCCTAGATAGCCGAGCGGTCTAGCACGCTGTTCCTGCACTGCTAGGAGACAGATTCCGAAGGTCGGGAGTTCAACCCCGGGCTGTGGCGGAAGTGGGTATCCATGTAAAAGTGAATTTCTTTGTGCTTTCTATATATATAAGCAATCCTGTGGATCATGTGTCCCAAAGAAGGGTAATCGTCAACTGTTGACCATCACGCCAGCCGTAAGTCTTATGTATTATGTAAACGGAACATTCTTTAGATTTCTTAAAATTTACGAAAATCAACTTTCAAAGACAAGTTGTTGAAATCGCTGTTATATCAACTTATCTGTAAGTAGCCTGTTCCGGTTAAAAATTGATCGTAGTTGGAACATCTAATAAGTTGGGAGATGAAATCATTTCATCATAAACCTAGTAGTGTATCAGCCCTGAGATAGCCAAGAGAGCACCAGGGAGGTAGAGCTGACTCGCTCTCAGGGCTGAGATATCTCTGAAAATATAGAAAAGAAGCTCTTGCATTCAATGCCAAAAAAGAGAAAAAATTCGGCAATCATAATCATCTTTGTATTTCTACAAGGATTTGCAACATTACTGAAAAATATCTGTGGAATCTTTTTTCAACTATTAAGGACTTTTAACATTAGAAACTCCTCTATAGGGAATTACTTTTAGGAACTGATAATACTGAAATGAATGAAAGTCCGTTGCCCGTTCGTCCACATATTCAAAAAAAAACAAACTAAAATATAAAAAACCAGTAATTATTTAGCTGTTTATTAATTCATATGTACTTATTTCAGATGAGTTTGCACTCAAAGACAGACAACTTTTGTTTCATGAATTTTTAAAC